GTACAGCAGAAAAACAGTGGAAAGATTCAGGAGTGATGGTGAGAAGGGAAGAAAAAAAGGGAAGAGTTGGTTTAGGGGTAAGAAAGAAGCATGAACAAATCAATGAAATATTCCAGTGGTTTCAAGTTAAATATTTTTATTTTACCTTTTTATTGATGGAAAATAAATGCTGTACTGTCAGTCTGCCATAACAAAATGCCATAGACTGGATGGCTAAAACAATAGGAATTTATTTCTTATGGTTCTGGAAACTAGAAATCTAAAGTCAGGGTGCAGCAGTATCCATGTCTGGTGAGGGCTCCCTCTTTTCATTGCAGATGGCTGTCTTCTTTCTTTGTTTGCACATGGGAGATAGAGAGAGAGAGAGAATGAGAGAGAGAGAGATAGAGAGAGAGAGAGAGAGAGAGAGAGAGAGAGAGAGATCAAGCTCTCTGTTGTCTCCTCTTATAAGAGCACTAATCTCATCAGACTAGGGGCCCACCTTTATGATTTCATCTAACCCTAACTACCTCTCAAAGGCCCTCTCTCCAAATACCATCACATTGAGTGTTAAGGCTTTAACATATGAATTGGGATGAACACAAACATTCAGTCCATAACAGGTGCTATTGTTGTGACCACTAATACAACTGTTCTCATCGTATATTTTCTTGTTGGGCAGAATACAGTCACAGGAACCAAATATCGAACAAAGAAGGACCACATGATGTGTAAACTTATGTGTTTGTGCATTGCTTATTCTTCTACCATTGGTGGCCTGACAACAATCACTGGTACCTCCACCAACTTGATCTTCGCTGAGCATTTCAATATGTAAGTAATATTATTGGATTGGTGACTTAATAAATGAATAGCACACAACCTACAAGGATTATTTTTACCTGATTCAGAGACTCCAGGACAGAGATGCTATATTGGGTTAACTCTCCTTTGTTCCCCATAAGGACATTCATAGGTCTAGAGACCTTCCCTTCCACTGAGAGTTAAATATGTAAGACAGTAAATTAACAGGTGCATATAGATTCTCCATATTAGTTCAGAAGATATAACTCCTGGTTGATCATTCTAATGAAACAAAGATTACAAATAATACTGCAAAAAGTAGTTAGGGGAAATGAAAAGGGATTATTTTCATGGGACAATTTATATAGGGTTTGAGAACTGGCATTTGAACTTAAATGATGAGTGCTGAACACAGGTACTAATTACAGAGAGCATGGCTTTGAAATTCAAAAAGAGTTGAAGGATTAAGCAATTACAAGAAATGGCAGTATTCTATGGACAGGTATATGACCCTAAATATAAGTTTGGAACTGTGATATCAATCACAACATAAATTGGAGAATCTATGGATAGAATCAGATCAGTTGGGTTAAAAATCCATAATATTTAGTCACTTACTTTGTGAATTTGAACAATAAAAGAAGTACATTAGTGTCTAAAACTTATTTTTTTCATATCTAAAATACTCAAAGTTCATATGATTATTCTGAGAATTAAGTGAAATAAACTATGTAAAAATATTTGGCACTATGTAAGAACTGTTGAAAAATAGTTTGAAGGTCTGTGCTTTTGTGTGAGAGCTCAAACTGATTCTACACCCAGATGTATTTTTAAGACTAATAGGACAAATAATTGACAGAGTTCCAGGAAGGTGGGCAAAACTGAGATGCCCTAAAACAGAATTTAGGTCCTCATCACAGAAAAAATAAGTTTCAGAGGCAGGAAAGTTACTCTCTATGAAAAAGATTCACAGACTATGACCTTTCTAAAATTATTTGCAAAATGTTGTGCATGCATAGCTTTTCCAAGAAATCCAAAACTCAAAAAATGCCACTTTCTTTTATGGAAACAATGAGAACTTGTGTACAAAAAACATTGGTATGTGTACTTATTGTTTCTATGAGCACACATTGATCATGTGTACTCAACAGCTGACTTAGAAAGGAATCTTTGAAAGATGTTTAGTTTATAAGTGGGAGACATTTAAAATTCACAATGCCAGAGAGGATTTATCCACTGCATCCTCTAATTCAAGACAGAAAATGTACTTGATCTCTTTCTGAAAGTAGACTTCTGTTCTTTCTCATGAATTCCCCAAAGAAAGAGATTCCATATTTTAGTGCTTTCTGTAAATCTTTTTCTAAAATTTAGACCAATTTTTTGAAGGCATTAATCCATTTGCAATGACAGATTGAGAGCATTGTAGCACTTTGAGTAAAATGTTTCAGTAACTGTTTTTCCTAATTGTATAATTTCCTAATTCTCTTAGTCATGGGAATTTAGCCAAATATTCTTTAAATTTAGAAATGTTTAAAATGTACTTTAACTTTAGTGATTTTTTCTTCAAAAGTTTGTTTTAACATTAGAAATTATATTCAAACTAGATAAAAAGAACACCTCAAAGTATCCCCTCTTGATAGAAAATACTAGAAAAGGGAAAATATCTTTATGAGACAAAATATAATTGACATCATTAAACAAGCTAGATGTTTAATAGACATTTTATTAAATATTAGCCCTAAAAAATACAACAGCATCCCAAAGCAACACTGAAATAAATGCATTCAATTTCATTGGGAAAAGTTTCACAAACAAAACTGCAGAAAAAAAAAAAAAGATTTATTTTTGCCCAGATTTTTAGTACTGGAGAGAAATTGCCCTTTATTTTTAAGTCCACTATAATAATCTCACCTTTTCTTCTTGATACTGCTTGCCATCATTTTAAGCAATACCAGTGATTATTTTGTACAAATTTATTTTGGGTCTTACCCAGCTTCAAAGGGTACATGAGCCTGACAGTCAATGATTTCCTACCATTGACATTAAGAGAAAGGCACCATCTTACAAATAAACTACAGGAGAAAGAGTTTGGATAACACATTTCAGAGCCTTATCTGTCTGTCTATCTGTCTGCCTATCTATCTATCTAATATATATATGTAGTCTTTTTTACACCAAAAAAAAACACAATACATTCTGAGGAAGCTAAACTTTATTCAGTGGAAATAAAAGCAGACTTTCACTCATTCACTCAGTCAATCAACGAACGTTTGTTAAGGACTCACAATGTGCAAGGCACTGTTTGGAATTCTTTTGGAGAATGAAAAAAATAAAACCTACCAGAAGGAAAATTCCATCTAGTTGTCTAGATAAAACATACGTATGTGAAAACTGTTTATTTTTTGACATATAGGGGAAAAGGTAAAGTGACGTGTACTGAGCACTTGCCAGATAATCTACATATATTATAGTGTACACATATCCTATATATCCTTGCTGTGGAGTTGGTATTTTAATGGTGATTAAAAGCATAGCCTCTGGGGTTAAAATGTCTGTATTCAAATCCCAGCTCTTTTATTTACAAATTTAGATGATCTTGGACAAATTACTTAATCTCTTTAAGCTTGTTACCTTGCCAGAAAAATGAGGATAATAATATCCCTCCCTTAGAGAGTTGTTTTGAGTTTTACATGAAAGAAATAGCACTTAGGGCGGTGCCTAGCACAAAGCATACGCTCAATAAACGTTGATTATTATTAGAGTTGAGACAGTTGAGGTTCGACTTAACAGAGTGAGGACCAAACCAAGATCAGTCAGACCTCTAAAATCTGTCTCCCTAAAAACTACCTCCCTAGAAACATAATTGAATATGTGTACTAAAAGAGGACTGTAGCTGTAGCTGCTCCTGGATGTGGCTACATCACTTGATTACTAGAGAAAATGTGTCCATACAACATGGTACAATCTTAAAAGAGGTAAACACCATTTCCTGAAGAAATTAATGCAAATCATTCATAAAATCAAAGCACTGAAAGTCTGTAATAGATTTTGTGGGGAGGTAGTAAAATAGTTTGTGCATATTCTTGCACAGTTTAGAACAGCAGTGTGCAGATTTATTGTCATTCTGGAGACAGGAGAACAATTAAGAGCCTAACCAAAGAGCCAACAAACAATGAGGTGCAGAAGGAGGCTAGTTATGAGGAGACGGGAGGATTTAGACTGAGGACACTGTACAGTCAGAAGGTAGTATGTAATTAGAGGGAAGGATTTAAGGGTAACGATGGGTGAGGGCAACTTCGGGAATTTTTGCCAATATGGCTAGATAGATAAGCGATGCCATGAACTTCTAGAGATGACATGGCAGGTTTCTGGGAGAAATTAATAAATTTGATTTGGATATATTGAAATGGCATGCTAAGAGACTATTCGCAAGATTTTCGGCAGGCATTTGCAAATGCATTGTTCAAGTTAGTTATAAATTTGGGATCTATCTTTAAAAATACAGAAATTAAGACCTTGACTGTAGAAATAGTCATATATGGAGAAAAAAGTTAGAATTGGGATGTGGTTAGACTCTTAGAAAATATTGACATGAAAGAAGATGAGCAAGAAAGAAGATAATCAAGGTAGATGGAGAATCGGGAGCTTGTGGTATTTTGAAAGCCAAAGAAGAAGACCATTTTCAAAATGGAGGATGAGTCAAGAGCATTCAGTGTGGGAGACGGGTCAAATAGATGATGACTGAGAAAAGTTTTTTGGTTCTCATCAGAGTCCTCTAGGAGGGCACATTCAGTGGAATGTGAGGACTGGGGCAGAATTCGGGCTGAAGAGAGTTAAGGAGTGAATTCATAGTGGGAAAGGGAAGGCAGCTATTTTAAATGATTATTTCAAGTTTGACAAAGAAAAGAAGAAAAGAACAAACAAGATCTAACCAGAGGCAGAGAGGCAGATGCCAGTTTGGTTTTACGCTCAGGAGGAGATAGTAAAAAGAGAGATATGTGAGATTTTGAAAAAAAGAGAGAGAATATTGATTGGCTAAGAGTTTGACGGCAGTGACATGGAATTAGAAACAAGAGTAGAAACGCTAGTCTTGGAAAAGAAGGACCTATGTCCCTGTGTGATAAAGTAAGGGAAGAAGAGAACAAGTGAAGATGGAGAAATTTCAAATCATGTAGACAACTCCTTTATTTCTCAGGTGAGAAAGCCAAGGCTCAGAGAGTTTTAGTGATGATCACTAGTCAGTGGAGGAAGTGGGAGACAGTGGCAGACAGTGGCAGACAGCCCGCGTCTCAACGCCTTTTCTGCTCTGCAGCCTCATTGCCTCACAGACCTTATGTGAGGAGGCCATGTTGCCAAAATTCTAAGCTAAAATGCTCGCAGCGATTCTTATCCACTCTTCCACTGATATACTTTTCCAGTCATCACCCAATCTCCTCCTTTCCTAACTCGATTTTTAATAAATACTACCCTGCAATGAACCCATTTCTTCCTCCTCTTTCTTGAAAGGCCCGCCAGTTCTGCCAATTTCACTCTCTACTTGTAGATGCTCTATCACTTCAAACTCTGTTCGTCACTCCTAAACTGCTATCTCCACTCCTCTTATCATAAACTATGTTCACATTTCCGTAAACTTGTTTTACCCACACACATGCACAACCACCACCCCTGATGACTGCAAGCTTTTAAAGGCTTCATGAATCATTCTCTTATTCCTTTATCCCACAAGGGGCACAAGTAGGGATCAATGAACATTAGCTGAGATGGACTGATCGAAGACATCGACAAAGTGCTGACTATTCTAGGGAATCATCTAAATAACTAAATCATCTTTTAGCATTAAAGTTAATAAGGGAAATATTATTAGGGACAACTACTGTTTTCTCAACAGAGCAGCTTTGATGCATCAATGTCATTTAACAAAAACAACAGCTATTAAACACACAAAACAAATCTAGCAGATTAAGGATGGGAGATATCACGAGTAAAATTTCATAGCTTGCTTATTATCAAAGTATATTATTCAGCCTGTG